TGAAAATAAGTGGATATTTTATATAAACAGTCAGAATTGAAAAACCCACTCAATATTATATTGTATTCAATATTGTGAAAGACAAATTTCAAGGATTTTGAAAGAATCATTCACGTTACGACTCAAGTTCAAAAGTTAATGCTCAGAGAATTATTCTTCCACCGGATATGAAAATGAGATTAAAATGGCTTATCATTAAGACCCCTTTGTTGTTCCCGCTCTTAACTCACTTTGCGTTACACGTGCCGAAAGCTCCATCTGCTTGTGCATATTCCAATCAATTCTCTGTAATTTTTTTTTGAATTTTGAAATTTCTGATTTTCTTCAGTTCAGAACAATTTTGAATGTTGGCTATGCATGTAACTATTCCTTGCTAATTCCTCACTTTTCACTTATTTTCTGACACACATATATAATTTAAATAATCAGCTGAATCAAGTAATACCCTTTGTTAGATTCTGATGTCTGTGCCCTATTTAAATGAGAAATAATTGTGTGATCTACTATAGCTTAAAATCAACCAAGATATGAAGTCCCAAAATCATTCCAAAATATATTCTGCCTAAAGCATAACTAACTTTTAATATTCAGTCATACAAAAAAATATGAAAACTGCATTTGAGACTGTTATGATGCTCTCTGGCTTCAAAGCTGTGAATTATCTATAAGTGCCTTTAAGGTACAGCTAGATTCCATAATGGCACACTTTTGTTGCCATGCCATTGAGTGATCAGAACTGTTTTATATCCACAGAGGGAACAGAATGTCAGGGTGTTCCTGAGATAAAATGTCATTGGAGTCGTATTTTAAATCAGAGAATAAAGGGAGAAAGAGTGGAATAAGCAAGGAATTAAATATATAGACATGTAGTTAACACTCTAAATTGTACAGAAATGCAAGAAAATCAGACACTTCATTCAAATTTTAGAGAGAAATGTGATGGAAAAAAGTCGTGAGCAGACAGATATTTTAGACTTATCAAATGCCACAAGACTATTTATTACCGCTCAACCCAGGGTCAAAATTTGTCACAAATTGCCTGAAATGTTTTTTGTATGATAAGAAAGTTGGTAATGCAGAATGGCAGAACTTATCTATTACATCATGAATCAGAAGAAAACCAGGCAGGCGTTTAATTTCCTTCATCTGCTCATGCTTATTCCGCTCTATTTCTCTCTAAAATTTGAATGAAGTGTCTGATTTTTTTGCATTTCTATACAATTTAGAGTGTTAACTACATACCTGGTTACTTTATTTTCTTTTATTTCCACTCTTTTTTTGCTATTTCCCATTTTAAAAAATGAGTCATGTGATGTTTTTACAGATTTGGGAAAAACCAGGCACTATTTCCTGAAAGACAGAAGTGATAAATCAGACACCCTTCAGAAGTTGAGATTTATTGTTATAGTGCAACACAACATTTGTTTAGCATAGGATTTGACACACTTATTTGTTTTTATTTTCCACAGACTTGACTTGTTTATTGTACTGAAATATTGTCTTTTGTTCAATCTATCTTTTCTCTGAAAATTTGGAATAAAGGATCTATAATTTTCTGTCATTTCTTTACAATTTAAAGTATTGACTACATTCTTTTATTTTCCACTATGTACCATTTGAAAACATCATTCTCATATGATCACATCACAAAATGGTCATGTTTTAAAATGGTATATTAAGTGGAAAAGAGTGGAATTAGCAAGGAATAAAGAAAACAGGCATGTAGTTAACACTCTAAATTGTATATAAATGCAAGAAAATCAGACACTTCATTCAAATTTTAGAGGAAATTAAGATGTTTTAACAAGGAATAAAATAAACAGCAATGTAATCAACTCACCCAATTGTACAGAAATACTACAATTATTAAAGAACTACTTAAACCGTGTCATAAAGACCTGAACCTGGAGTTATCATAAAAGATATTATTTGAAGGGGTTGTCAACTTGACTAAGACCAGAATATTCTTTCATTGAGACAAATGCATACTAGATTACTTAAATTGATACAGAGCATTATGTCACACATTCCTCTTGTATTTTTCTTGAGCTGAAGTGGCTTTATTTTGGCGCAGCATGGCCAAAAAACATCATGTGATGTGCCCACCATCACCATAGTTGTAAGACACAACAGTACCGAATATCTGAATGAACTAATCATTCGATAAAATGTATCAAAATTCAAGCATAGAACTATGGGAATTAATGTATGGGAAAATATTTTCTATTTCTTAAAAGTCTGTCTTAAGCATTTGGGGGGTCTTATGCAAAGGAAATGAACAATTTAGTGTTGAGATTTCAATTTGACATTTGAAGAAGAATTTATGTAAAATTGAATAGCGAGGTTATCCAGTTGAAGTTTGCAGTGATATAATGTTTGTAGTTTTCACGCCAATATTTTCTCTTCTATTATCGATGTTAAGTTGGTCCTTTTTCATTGATCGTGAGAATATATTTGATAAGGGTAGTACTTTTGTTTAAGAGCTTGTCTTTTATCTTTGAATGAGTTTAAAGGCTACATCTTGGCATTTGTTCATGTGTTTTTACGTTAAAGGCTCATATTTGTAATATATCATGATCTTTTTTTGATACACTCCCCTCTATAAATATGGAAACCTGAAATTCCCTATTGAATGTCATGTTAAAGACTTATACTTGGCAATTTAAAATATTAATTAATCAAAGTCATAGATTTCCAAACTACTGTATTGTAATAAGAAACAAAATTAGGTTTTAAATGATATCTATGTTTTAATAACATCACCATTTAATGGTTTAAAAACATTAGCCTTTAAAAGATGTCAACAGACTTGAACATGCCATCTGATCGAGACTTCCAGTTACCATATTTATGGACGGGGGTGTAAAAGCGGCCAATGTTACAATTGCTTTGAAATATGAAAGTTTCAGGTTTCATCTTATAAGTTTATGGTATTTATTATTTAGATTCAATGAAATAACAGGTTTAGGATCAATAAACATTTAATACAATGCTTTATTGTACCAATAACTTATACTGATGCCAAACTATTCAGAATGTCAGATATGTCTATTTTATAAATTACCCCTGTATAAATATATATTTATCTTGAATAATTGAGTGGAAAGTAAATTGAAAATATGTGAACTTGAATTCAAGGCAATATATCGCCCATGGTAAATACAGCGCATCATGGGGTCTTGTTTTGAAATGTAAAATAAAGTGAAAAGGAGGGGGTCCAGTAAGGAACAAAGTAAACAGGCATGTAGTTAAAACTCTCAATTGTATTGAAATGCAAGAAAATCAGACAATTTATTCAGATTTTTGAGAGAAATTTAAGAAAATCAACATCTTATTTTTTGATTGATTGGAATCCATAACCCAGTTGGCCAGGTTTATTGGATAAAAATGCGAGTGACACATTGAAGCGAAACAATGGAGAGTTTTGGATGAATTTATGTTATTTCCCTTTTCTATGGGGTGTCCACATATTCTCACCTGGGGGGCAATCTCGGATCCTCTTAATCCAGACTTACTTTCCCCTGCCCAAAATTCTCCCTTGTTTCATGCCTTGAGTATGTAAATATGCAGGTTTTCTGGCAGGAATGTGAATGAAATTTCTGTTTTTTGGCGTAACGGTATAATTTTGATTATTGAGTTCAAGTATATATGTTTTATTCCTTGAATTGCGTTTTCATTTTTACCCTATTTGGCAAAGTAAATCATGACTAAGTTGGTTATCATTTGTTGAAATGTGGTAATAATGCATCCTTGGTGTCACTGATGACTAAAATGTCATGGTGGTCATGTTTTAAAATGCAAAATAGAGTGGAAAAGAGTGGAATCAGCAAGGAATAAAGTTAATAGGCATGTAGTTAACACTCTAAATTATATAGAAATGTAAGAAAATCAGACACTTCATTCAAATTTTAGAGAGAAATGACACAAAATATGCATAAGCAGACGGCTTTTCAGCAAAGGCCGCTATCAATACAATAGTGGGAGTAACTGTGAATGGGCAATTTTTGCTGATGTTCAGTAGCTTTAAAAATAGAATAACATAATTTTTGTCCAAAACTGGGGCTTTAATTAGACGTTTAGGGTTATTCAGTGTTAGTAAACAGACAAAAGTATATACTTCAATATTTCTGAAATGAAAACTTTAATCATTGCTTGTTATCAAGTATCCTCGGAAAAGGACCCTCAACTTTATGTTGACACTTAGGGGTCCTGTCAATATATACATATTTTTGACATATTTGGACTTGGCTCAAATATCTTAAAATGAAACTGAAAATATTAATAAAACAGTATGAAAAATTGTATAAAAACGAAAATGGCATCAAAAAAATAATGCATTTAATCTCTATAACCTTCTTTTAACGTATATAATATATCTTTGTTTTTCAATTGACATCATTCTTTTGACCTGACCCCTGTATTGACACTAATTCATGTCATTTATTGTCATGTCAATGATTGACATGACATTGCCATGCCTCTTCATCAGCCCCCCTGGGATAGAAAAATGTTCAAATTATATACTATAACATGTTTTCAATTTTTAAGATTGAAATTCACATTTTCTCTATGTATTTGATAATACTCATTTTTATTTACCCTTTGTGTTTGAATTTTCGAGTTTATTTTTTATTACAAAATGATTTGTTTATCTGCAATACTGTTTATTTAAACATTATTCTTATTTTTGACAGTGTTATGATTAGGTTGTGCTTTACTTGATCAATAAAGTTTGTGGTATATTGGGATCATTTGGTTGTATCATAGAGGTTCCCATTGGGTTGTGCTTCATTGCTTGATTGTGCCATTGTGTTTGAGTTTGGTTGTGCCAAATTACTGTGTTGTGGTTGTGTTGCTCTTATAGCTGATATGATTCTGTTAAAACAATCAATAGTTCCTTTTTTCAAGAAAAACTGAACCTCAATCCCATCTAAGCTTATACTTAACATAACTACAAATATTTCTAATTTTAATCGAATGTTATTTTTATATGATTCCAGCAAGTGGGCTGCGATGGTGTTATTGGTTCAAACAAACATCTTGACAAATGCGGAAAATGTGGCGGAGATGGTACGTCATGTCGCATCGTATCAGGAATATTCACCAACCCTAAGCTGAAGTATGGATATAACACAGTCATAAAGATTCCAAAGGGGGCGTGTCAAATAAATGTCACAGAAATGCGACCCAGCAGAAACTATTTAGGTGAGTGACAGTCATATTTTATGCTTCTATCTTGTAAATATCACGGTATAATAATCTAATCAAAATGCCTCCGAGACCAACCAAAGGTGTTCAGCTTGGCCAGTGTTCACATTTATAGGTTTTATAAACATGTGAACCAATGGGAGATTTTGGACCATAAAGGTGTTCACATTGAGAGGTGTTCGGATGTACATGTTTCTGGTAAGGTAATACAGAATACTGAACCTTTGAGGGTTAGGGCTAATAAGGGTTGTATATCCCCCTCCCCCACATGTTATGTATCTAGACCCATATATTGGATACATTATATTATGTAATGGGATAGGAAGATGAGCGGAATATGGGACAAACTAGGGTAACTTTTGAGGTGGGTTGAAATGTTATGTATCTAGACCCATATATTGGATACATTATATTATGTAATGGGACAAGAAGATGGGCGGAATATGGGACAAACTAGTGGAAGTTTTGACGTGGACATTTTTTCGATTTTGTAATTTTTTTTGTCAGAATGACAGTACTGTGAGGTGACTCAAAAAAGAGCCTTTAACACATGTTGTTTTTAAAATAGGTAGTTCTTTTGTTTTTTATGTTTTGAGGTAATGTTGAGGTTTTGACAAGGGGTCACCTCCTACCGATTTTCAGGATCTGAGTCTAGCAAATGTATGTATTTACCAGCAGGTCAAGAAAGGTTGTGCCAAGACAAGTTGTAATATGACGATGTGGTCGTTTTGATGTGTGCCCCAAAAGACAGTCATGTTTTCAAATGAAAATTAAAGAAGGAGAGAGCAAAGTTAGCAAGGAATAAAGTAAATAGACATGGAGTGAAAACTCTAAATTGTATAGAAATGTAAGAAAATTAGACACTTCATTCAAATTTTAGAGAGAAATGGAGTGAAATAAGAATGAGCAGACGGACATTTCAAACAAGGAAAATCAGCACATTGAGATAACACTTGTGTTTTGCGTTTCAGTCAATTCAATCTAAACAGGACCTGACTCATTTGTGGTTTGGAAGACTGGTTCTTGCATATAAATGATAAATAAACAACTTACGAATGTACAATTCAATGATATAAGAGAAAGATGCATGATTTCCAAATACCTAGGATTCCCTTCTTGCCATACAACGGCATGCTTGCAAGTGTGCAGGCCTGTAGCCAGCTTTGCCCGAGAGGAGGGTCGACAATCTTGACCTAAATCACTAGAAAAGTGCTCAAAATGGTGAAAAACCAATTTTTGAAAGAAATTTTGGTCAGATGGCGCTCAACCCCCCCCCCCCCCTCATCCCTTCTCTGTGTGTCTCCTCCAACACCTTAATAATTGAGAGTTTCAAAGGGACTGGGAGATTTCTCCTTAGGGAGAAAATGGGTTAAAGTTGAATGCAACAGTAGATAAAATGGTGATGTTATATTCATAGCTTTTTGCTATACTAGACACCAAATAGACAAACAAAACCAATTTGAAGATATTCCAAATTTGTCAAGTAGAGAGGTGCCTGTGCCTTTTTCTTTCATTTTCTCTAAAATTACGAATGACATGACTGATTTTTTGCATTTCTTTACAATTTAGAGTGTTTACTTTAATCCTTGCTAATTCCATTCTTTTTTTTAGATTCAAAATTGGTGGTCTGACATAAGCCAGGTGGTTTTGTAAATTTCATTTTTATGAGCACAATTTATGAGGGGAATAATTCACCTATTAGTATTTATATCACATAGACATATATTTAATTTTATGATGATTAGAAATGGATTTGTTCATAAAAGTTCTTCAAAGCGATATAACTAACAAAATAACTTAAATGTTTTTAATATGGTTCAGTCAATGCCACATACCAGTGTCTATTTTCCGTAACTAATTTCTTTTGTAGATTTAGGTTAAATAATAGTGTAATAAGATTTATTTCGTTTTGGTATCCCCATTTGCAATATAGCATGACATAAACATAATATAACATGACATAAACATAATATAACATGACATAACATAATATAACATGACATAAACGTCTGTTTATATTCTTCTTTATAACATTCTAGATGTCATGATTTTATAGTAAATTATATGTTATCGCTTTGTATTATGCTCATTGACATAGAAAAAGTCAGGAATTGGATTTTTTTTTTTTTTTTTTTTTTTAGAAAGGTCATGTTGTTCACATTACTTCCTAAAGTGAGTCAAGGATCCAGTCCCATGGCTAAAATTCTTTTAAAATCATGCAGTTTTTCACAATTTTGAGCTCTTATTGAGTGATTTTGGGCCAAAATTGTCAAATTTGAAGCCCCTGGAATCTCCTCCTGGCAAAAGCTGACTTATTAATGGGCCTGACATCTCAAAAAAAGAAATTATGTATATAATTTGTTAAACTGTTATGATAGTTTGAACTGGACACAACTTTGAAATGAACCAGCGTCTTATTTACATTCCATTTTTCTGAAATGAATACCCCATGGTTAAGAACACCTTTTTAAGTAAATACCTCTCAAATGTGTTCTCTAGAATGAACACTACTCTTGCGAAAACCTCTCTCCAAAGTTGACATTGACATGATTGTGAGTGATTCTCAGTCATGATCAACTATAGATAACAATCCCTTCATAATATTAAAAAACACACAAAGGGCAACATTGGAAACACAAAATATCTGAAGAACTATGAAATATATCACTTTAAGATATGAGTTGATTCATTGGATATTCAAAGAATTATCTCAGTTTCTGTTTTCTGATTTGCATATTTAAATTTTTATTTCAGTCTTGAAGCGTGAAAGTGGCAAATTTATACTAAATGGCAACTGGGCCATTGATTGGACGGGGACATACGTCGCGGCAGGCGGGGAGTTCCATTATACAAGATCTGCCAGAAGCAAGGGAGAGCAGATTCTAGCCACGGGACCCATAAATGAAACCATTGAGCTACAGGTGAATCAATTGTTTTTTAATGGAGTTTTAATTTGTTTTTGATTGATTTTGAATTTCATCACATCTAATAATTTTTTTTAAAAATATGGTGAGATTGTCATTCTCCCACTTCATGGTGTCACAGATCAATCATGAGTAAGTGTGTTAGCAGTTTTGGAAAAATTGAACAAGTAACTTGTATGAGTGACTTGTAAGATTAACTTGTACAATTGACTTGTATGATTAACTCATTTGAGTAACTTGCCTGAGAAAACCTCATCTCCAGATTTCTTAAAATTTTGCAAGTCGATTTAAGAAATGTAAATATATGAGTGACTTATCTGAGTGATTGATGTATGAGTGAATTGTATGAGTACTCATTAACTTGTATACATAATTGACTTGCAATTGACTTGTATGAGTGTGGCACACGTGTTTATATATACATGGATTAGGAGTTTTCTCTTTACTTTCAATTTTTTCATTTCAATTGATTTGACATTTACTGTATACAGTATCAACTCAAGTGCATGCTGGGCTAAAAGAGGCATCACCCGTCGAAAAAAAGCCAATATGGTCATGTTTTGAAATTAAAAATACATTAAAAAGAGAGGAATTAGCAAGGGATAAAGTACCCAGGCAAGTAGTAAACACTCTAAATTGTATAGAAATGCAAGAAAATCAGACACTTCATTCAAATTTTAGAGAGAAATGGAGTGAAATAAGCATGAGCAGACGGAGAATTTAGGCGCTCGTAATGCAGTGAATCAGACAAACATTATTAGGTTTGATTACTCCCACACTTATGTCCACTTATGTAACTAAGAATATGTTGTTTGTGGTTTTATCATGATTATGTTCAAGAATTTTGGCTCGTGATTTGTGGTTTTGATTGTATGATATGGTTGGCAAGATGAAAAGGGGGGGGGTGCGCTTGCAATTCTCATATATTTTTTACATAACTTGTAGGGGCCTTAACCCAGAGTTATACTTTATGTGCATAAAGATCTTGCTTTGACCCTACATTGAAAAGTCAAATGTAATTCTGGTATATAAATCATATATACCCTTGCACCCATATTTAATATATACACCAAAGTATATATCGTCAGACAACCCCACCCCTTCATTGGATTTCTATAGGGATGTACTTCTTAGATTTTTTACCTTTCTGTGTTTATATAATGGCTTTTAATGGGCTTTGATGGGTTTCTCACCTTCCATACTATTTCTGCATTTTGAGGAAGTTGATCTGATTTTAGAAAATGTAAAAATAACTCTGGATTTCATCAAGTTCCACTTTGCATGTTTACAGCCACTTCGCCTTGGGAGTGTCCGTCTCAAAGAGGCAAGCTGACATTATGTCTTTGATTGTAAAGTCGCTCATGTGTTCATTTCCGCCATAAGAAGTTAGGAAAAACTTAAGATATTCATTTTAAAATCTGACATCTAATGTTGGTATGGAATGAATATAAAGGAATTTGTAAAAAATATATAACAAAATTGATGAGTTTTTCAAACTTTGAATGAGACAATAAAAGAAATGTTCTTTAAAAAGATCAATAACAAATCCATCTGCGACTGTAAGGGCCCCTTATCATCATTCCAAGCATTGCTTAAATATTGCAACTGAAACAGATTGCTTCTACCCTGTGTTAGAGTTTACCTTTGTTGACCTCTTCGAATGAGACATGATTTAATATTTTATACCTGATATTCATTTGACATTCAATTTAGGTCATCTAATTTACTTTTGAGATAATTGGAAATGTCTAAACTATGACGACATCATAACTTTCAAAACTAGTTGTTATATGCAGAGGTTAGTTTGTCTTGCTTTAAAGAGGGTAGTCATAGAATGTCTTGCTTAGAGGAGAGTGTATCTTTCTTATGTGTCAGGGTAACTGGATTGTGTATTTTCCTTGATTTCCCATCAAGTGTATTTTATGTTAAACATACTCCCAAGATTGAATTCAAAGTGGCCAAAAATAGATATGTTTATGATTGAACTTGAAGTCAATCTTACACTTCAAACTTGTGTGTTCTTCACAGACTGTGTGCACGGGTGTTAAGCCACGATGATACCATGAGCACATGCTTTGAGGATCCGCTTTGTTTGAACCTACCGCCGAGCTCACTTATACGTGGTGTATGTCTGTTTTATAAACCTTTTGTTGTAAATATTTTGGTATCTATTTTTAATCGAGTAAGCCATTATTTTTAACCTTTAGAAAAACTTTTGATATCATATCGCCTTTTTGATTGACTCTGTTAAAATAGTACTTTGCCAAACCAAGTATTAAACCTAACTATTTAACAAGATGCAATGCTTACAAACCTAAATTATTTTTGATTTAGTTTAATCCATTGAAATAATTTTAATCATCTTTTCATAAGTAAACTCCCCGAAATCTTTCTTAACAGGATGTCAAATCCTAAATTTTCTGTCAAAATATCTTGATATTTCACCACTTTTGCAAGATTAGGACACTGAATTTTAAATAGGGTGCAGCACGCATTTGCTCTAATATTAGGGGTGACGAGGGGTGTCTCCAATTGTGTTTTGAGAAACTTGTATTATTCAAAATATCGAGCATTTCTAAATAATTCAAAGTAATGATATTAAGTTATATGTAAATGTCTAAGCATTTATTTGATGGATTATGTCCAATTACACAATAGAATATTACTAATTTAAAGTGCCGCAAACAAATAAGTGCGGGAAGAACAATACAAGAACAAGAACTCATTTAAAGTATTTATTGTTTTTCCAAGCATTTATCAAAGTATCAGACCTTGCAGCTGAACCATGAAAGCTCTGGAAAAATTTATAAAATGAGTAACATAAACATAGTGGTTTGGATATGGTAGGTTTCCTTTGAAGATGTAATTGTGTTGCTTAAAATGTCAGAAACGGCCATGATTTAAAATCAAAATTGAGTGGAAAAGAGTGGAATTAGCAAGGAATGAAGTAAACAGGCATGTAGTTAACACGCTCAATTGTATAGAAATGCAAGAAAATCAATCACTTCATTCAAATTTTTAAGAGAAATATGTGAATTAAGAATGAGCAGACGGACATTTTTAGCGAAAGTAAAGCTCTGAGTAATCTGAACTCTAATTTATTATATAACATACAAATTATACATCATTTGAAATCATGCTTTTGATTTATGACACATGCTTTGGTTATTTCCTTTTGCCTCCCAAGTATTTTGACAATTGCCAATGATTGCCAATTTCGGGAGATTAGACACCAGGTGATATTTGGACTTGAAATATTGATATTAAACAAAATGTAAGTGTATCAACAGATTAATATATTTTCTCATTTAAAGGTCACCTGGATCAAATGTATTTTCCCATGTGAAATTACTGTACAATAAAAAATGGATAATGGAACACCTCTATAAGTTGAACACCTCCACTTTTCAGTTCCATGTTCCATTATAACCGATTGGCATCATGTCAAATGATCTTGTAAGTGGAACACCTCCAAAGTTGAACACTTTTAAGAAGTACCAAAAGTGTTCCACTGACACAGGTTACTGGTATTTCTGTATTCACATATAGCTTCTTCAAAGGAATGTCCAAATTTTGAATATTTAGTAATTTTTCATTCATGGACTTCATGACTTGAAATCTGTCAAATTTTCTGTTTGCTTTCATTATGCATGCAAGCTCTTTATTTATGTCTGCAGGGTGAATTGTTCATCCAATCTCACCTCTTACCCTTAAATCCACTTCAGCTATCTACAGTCCATACCACCCTCTGAGTAAAACAGACAGTTTTACAGATTTAATACTCATATGATCTTAATAATCTCATTTGCAGCCCTCATGACTGTTATGGAAATTTGAGTGAATGTGGATGCTAGTACCAATACAATGCAGTAATATATACTCATGTTCTGTGTATATGTTCTGATTGGATGAATGACATCAATCAATCTTTAAGAGTATAGTCAAAGCAGCACTCTGGTAAAGGGTACTACATTTCTGTCTGCAGTTTGAATCATTCATCAAAATGCCGGCTAATCTCTATGTTCGACATCCCTGTATCGCATTCTCCATAGATCATAGAAAAGTCAAGAACCATTAATTCAATCTTAAACAAAAGTTACAATATCTTATAGTGCATAGACCTTATTTGATAAATTCAGTTTACTTCATTGTTTCATGTTGACCTGTAGATGTATTTTCTAACCTTGCCTCTGCAAATCTATCTGCGACTCTGTGTGCCCCCTCCCCCCTCCCCTCCGATTCACCCCTCCTGTAGATATATGAATTTAGTTAACATGAAGAATTTGACTTGTTTGGAACTCTTATACAATGTATACCTTACCAGTACATCAACATTTTTTGGTCTTCGTTAGCTGTCCCTCTCTCGTCAAATCGCCCCCCCCCCCCCCCTTCAATCTCTCGCAAATTCTACCCCACATCATTTTGTGTAGCAGTTTCATTTTATCTCCCTATGTTGATGAATTGTACACAGAACCTTAAGTGCATTGAAGTATTTCATCCTTATTAACCTAGATGTAAGAGTTTTCCCATTTATTATACAATACTATGCAATCTATGGATACTTAAAGGCTGTGTATAATATGTAGGGCTCAAACTTGCATTTTAGCCAAAGTAGTTATTTTATGCAGCCAAACTTCAAAAAATAATTTCCAGTAATCAATTGTATTGAAGTAATTTGCGGAAAACCTTTGATTATGCTACTGAGTTGCATGTATGCACAAGTGGAACCTGAACCTGAAAGGTTTTGGTTACAGGGATGTTCATTTTCAAGGCCTGCCATACTTGCCATACAGTATTAAGTGCAACCAGTTTCTGCATTGTTCACTGCTGCACCACTGTGTATATTTAAAGGTTTTGTCTGGTCAGATGTGTTCATACTTTTTGAAAGGCCATTAATCTCCAGCGGTTGGTGTTCAGCATCTCTAACAAATGGTAGCTCGTGACATTTTGCATGTTAATGCCTTGTGTAATATACATCAGGCCTGTAGCCAGGATTTGCCACTTTTTGAAAAATTCCAGGGGGGATTTACTTTTGATCATTTTGTTTCAAAATGGCCCAAATCATTTAAAAAGTGCTCAGAATGGTGAAAAAACTGCATGATTTTGAAAGAATTTTTGAGTGTGGGGGGGGGGGGGGCGAACTCATCGAACCCCCTGGCTATGGGACTGTACATGTAAACCATTTGTTTAGCTTTTGATAAGAACATTGTCAAATTCATGTTTTCCTCAGTTTTGGAAATTTGAAGGCTTCTTCCTTTGAGATACAGTAATTGTGGTTTTGCATAACAGGGCCTTAGCTAACCTCAAAAATGAAAGAAATAATGTTTTAATTTGAGATTTCCGATTGTTATTTTTCTATTTGAAAAATTCCAGGGTAAGAATGCCATAAGATCTGAGCAATGTTAAGACCTGGATTTTGTGGTTATTTTATTATTTTTAAAAACTGAATCATTGTTGATATTATTATTTAGCATTTATATATTTGAACACAGATGTGAAAATTATTTCATGGCCAAGAAAAGCTTTGCTCCTTTGGCCTCAAAAGTACAAATTATTACCGAAACAAATTGTAGGGATCCTTCATGCTTATGACAACAAAAACTAAATGAATTTAAAAACTACAGTATATGAATGTATGCCATGCACACTCCCCCCCCCCATAAGTATGACAATGCGAGTCTTCGTATTATGATAGCAATTATAGACACTTCTCATCGTAAACATATCTCATTGTAAACATGTATTTAAAAGTGATTGCCTGATAAATCAATGCAATGTTATGTTTTTCAGATATTGTACCAAAACAACAACCCTGGTATCATGTATTCGTTTGCCATTAAGAAAGAGAAAGTCCATGATGTGATATTATAAATGCAATGTTATGTTTTTCAGATATTGTACCAAAACAACAACCCTGGTATCATGTATTCGTTTGCCATTAAGAAAGAGAAAGTTCATGATATGATATTATAAATGCAATTTTATGTATTTCAGATATTGTACCAAAACAACAACCCTGGTATCATATATTCGTTTGCCATTAAGAACGAGAAAGTCCACGATATGATATTATAAATGCAATTTTATGATTTTCAGATATTGTACCAAAACAACAACCCTGGTATCATGTATTCATTTGCCATTAAGAAAGAGAAAGTCCATGATATGATATTATAAATGCAATGTTATGTATTTCAGATATTGTACCAAAACAACAACCCTGGTATCATGTATTCATTTGCTATTAAGAAAGAGAAAGTCCATGATACGATATTATAAATGCAATGTTATGTTTTGCAGATATTGTACCAAAACAACAACCCTGGTATCATGTATTCATTTGCCATTAAGAAAGAGAAAGTCCATGATATGATATTATAAATGCAATGTTATGTATTTCAGATATTGTACCAAAACAACAACCCTGGTATCATGTATTCATTTGCTATTAAGAAAGAGAAAGTCCATGATACGATATTATAAATGCAATGTTATGTTTTGCAGATATTGTACCAAAACAACAACCCTGGTATCATGTATTCGTTTGCCATTAAGAAAGAGAAAGTCCATGATATGATATTATAAATGCAATGTTATGTATTTCAGATATTGTACCAAAACAACAACCCTGGTATCATGTATTCGTTTGCCATTAAGAAAGAGAAAGTCCATGATATGATATTATAAATGCAATGTTATGTTTTGCAGATATTGTACCAAAACAACAACCCTGGTATCATGTATTCATTTGCCATTAAGAAAGAGAAAGTCCATGATATGATATTATAAATGCAATGTTATGTTTTGCAGATATTGTACCAAAACAACAACCCTGGTATCATGTATTCGTTTGCCATTAAGAAAGAGAAAGTCCATGATATGATGAACATGATGAAGGAGACAATGAATGAACAAGATCCTCAGGTATGGAAATTGTTGTGCAAGTTAGATTTCAAAATGTGAAACTTGTTGTGCCAGTCCTGTTTCAAAATATGAAACTTTTGCACAAGTTATATTTCAAAATGTGAAACTTGTTGTGCTAAATGTGAAACTTGTTGTGTCAGTCCTGTTTCTAAATGTGAAACTTGTTGTGCTAGTCATGTTTCAAAATGTGAAACTTTTGTGCAAGTTATATTTCAAAATGTAAAACTTGTTGTGCCAGTCCTGTTTCAAAATGTGAAACTTGTTGTGCCAGTCCTGTTTCAAAATGTGAAACTTGTTGTGCCAGTCCTGTTTCAAAATGTGAAACTTGTTGTGCCGGTCCTGTTTCAAAATGTGAAACGTGTTGTGCCAGTCCTGTTTCAAAATGTGAAACTTGTTGTGCCAGTCCTGTTTCTAAATGTGAAACTTTTGCGCAAGTTAATTATATTTCAAAATGTGAAACTTGTTACAAGCCAGTCCTGTTTCTAAATGTGAAATTTTTGCGCAAGTTATATTTCAAAATGTGAAACTTGTTGTGCCAGTCCTGTTTCAAAATGTGAAACTTCGAAATGTAAAAAGAGTTCAGCACCATGCCATCTTTATACACACTACTGTTTTCTTTCAATTCAACCTTTTGGCATGTTTAAAAGTGTAAATATATACATCTAGAATAATTCAAATTGTTATGTATCACATTTTCAATGTTACAATGTAAACATTTTAAGAAATAAAAATTTTATTTGAATATTTTACATTTCCAGGCACGTCTACCTCAAACATCAAACAACTACCATAGCAACAACAGACATAGGCACAATGGTCACCATAGGAAAACCCAATCAGATACCCCTGTTTATAGCAACAATAAACAACCAACCAGGGGTAGAGTTTATCCCCCAACCCGCAATCAAAATAGTCAAATTAATACAAATAGACAGAGTGTCAGTAACACAGGCTACAACCCTAGATTACCCAATGGGGGTGTAGGGGGTGTAGCAGCTACACGTAATAGCCAATATATAAATGCCAGGTCTAGATATGTACCTGGATCTGTCCAAACTGGTACCCAGACTTATCCGGGATCAAGTTTGTATCGCAATAGTGCCCAGCCAGGAGGCACCAATTCTCAATTTACAGGAAGAAGTAATCCTCGATACGGTTACCAGGGTACGGCTTCTAATCCCCGAACAGATCCTCGCTATTCCAGTGCCGCATCTACAAATAATCGCTACCCAAATTCAGGGGCCTCTGTACCTCAGTATAACAGCCGTGGGGGTGTGAATCCACAATTTAATAGCAGAGGGGGTGTGAACCCACAATATAACAGCAGAGGGGGTGTTAATCCTCAATATAATAGCCGGGGAGGAATCATTCCTCAGTACACAAACACAAGAGGTGCAAGTGATCCCAGGTACAGGAGCCAGGGAAACAGCAACCCAAGCAATCCCAGAAACCCTCAGTACCCCCATGTGTTATCAGCCTATAGGAACACAGGAATACAAAATGATAAAACTCCTATCTCTGCCCAAAACTCAGCATTAGCTAAATATCCCCCATCAAGAAATAGCCAAACACCAGGAGGCTCCATCACTCAGGGATCATATGTACCTCCAGGGGTTGCCGGCTCCATACCAAAATACAGCCAATCTGGGGGCAGTTTTGCGCCAAATAGACAACAACCAGGGGGTAGTTTTGCGCCAAATAGACAACAGCCAGGGGGTAGTTTTGCGCCAAATAGACAACAGCCAGGGGGCAGTTTCTCACCAAATATACAACAACCAGGGTTAGGTAACCAACAACAGGGTGGACTCATTGACCCCTCCCTGGGGGGACAGGCACAGGCGATTCCTACGCAGGGTTCCAGCGAGAATTATGACTGGAAAATCTCAGGATTTTCGGCATGTTCAAGAACATGTGGCGGAGGTAGGTTCAAATATCATCGAATTTAATCATTTTATGAAATCATTTCAGCTTACTCCATTTATTGACTATAACACAAATCAACATCATCTATTTTACACAAAATAAGATTTATAATAATGTAGGCACAAATCTTAAAGATTCAGATTCATTCTTGAGTACTCTAGGATCATATTTAAAGGGGAGTCTCTTGATTTAGTATTCTAGGTCCATAACTAGAGATTGAGTCTCTTAAATTCATATTTTTGATTTAGGTATCCAAGAGACTCTTATTGTTTGTGTAAAATAGGACAGTTCAGCTTTATATTTGAGTACTCTAAGATCATAATCAAGGGTTGGGCCTCTTTATTGAGTATTCTAGGACTATAACTAGAGGTTGGGTCTCTTTAATCTATATTTTTAATTTAGGTCTCCAAGAGACTCTTGTTGTTTGTGTAATGCCTTGGTCACATTTGCTCCTATTCATTGACCAGCGCCCCGGCCGATTGAGTATTCTGTTCAAAACTTAATACATTGTGAACAGGATACTCAATGAATCGGAGCAAATGTTACCAAGGCATAAAAGAGGACAGTTCAGCTTTATTTTTGAGTACTACTCTAAGATCATACATGTAGTTAAGGGGTGAGCCTGTTATTAAGTATTCGAGGACCGTAACTAGAGGATGAGTCTCTTTAATCTATATTTTTAATTCAGGTATCCAAGAGACTCTTGTTGTTTGTGTAAAGGAGGACAGTTCAGCTTTATTTTTGAGTACTCTAAGATCATACATGTAGTTAAGGGGTCTCTTATTAAGTATTCGAGGACCGTAACTAGAGGATGAGTCTCTTTAATCTACCATTTTTAATTCAGGTATCCAAGAGACTCTTGTTGTTTGTGTAAAGGAGGACAACTCAGCTGTTGTTCTTGACGATAACTGTGATAAAGAAAAGAAACCAGAAAAGCAGCGTGTGGCGTGTAACCCCAAAGCATGTGAGCCTGAGTAAGTATGACATGACAGGGCGGGGGTGATTTCTCTTATTAGCTCACATGGTGTGCAATTGCAATCACCCACTTGTTTAGACTTGGAGTCACTTTGTTCAAATTTTAGAGAACCTTGTCACCATGTGAGTAAGTATGACATGACAGGGCGGGGGTGATTTCTCTTATTAGCTCACATGGTGTGCAATTGCAATCACCCACTTGTTTAGATTTGGAGTCACTTTGTTCAAATTTTAGAGAACCTTGTCACCATGTGAGTAAGTATGAAATGACAGGGCGGGGGTGATTTCTCTTATTAGCTCACATGGTGTGCAATTGCAATCACCCACTTGTTTAGATTTGGAGTCACTTTGCTCAAATTTTAGAGAACCTTGTCACCATGTGAGTAAGTATGACATGACAGGGGTGATTTCTCTTATTAGCTCACATGGTATGCAATTGCAATCACCCACTTGTTTAGATTTGGAGTCACTTTGCTCAAATTTTAGAGAACCTTGTCACCATGTGAGTAAGTATGACATGACAGGGGTGATTTCTCTTATTAGCTCACATGGTATGCAATTGCAATCACCCACTTGTTTAGATTTGGAGTCACTTTGTTCAAATTTTAGAGAACCTTGTCACCATGTGAGTAAGTATGAAATGACAGGGGTGATTTTTCTTATTAGCTCACATGGTGTGCAATTGCAATCACTCACTTGTTTAGATTTGGAGTCACTTTGCTCAAATTTTAGAGAACCTTGTCACCATGTGAGTAAGTATGACATGACAGGGGTGATTTCTCTTATTAGCTCACATGGTGTGCAATTGCAATCACCCACTTGTTTAGATTTGGGGTCACTTTGTTCAAATTTTAGAGAACCTTGTCACCATGTGAGTAAGTATGACATGACAGGGGTGATTTCTCTTATTAGCTCACATGGTGTGCAATTGCAATCACCCACTTGTTTAGATTTGGAGTCACTTTGCTCAAATTTAAGAGAGCCTTGTCACCATGTGAGTAAGTATGACATGACAGGGGTGATTTCTCTTATTAGCTCACATGGTGTGCAATTGCAATCACCCACTTGTTTAGATTTGGAGTCACTTTGCTCAAATTTTAGAGAACCTTGTCACCATGTGAGTAAGTATGACATGACAGGGGTGATTTCTCTTATTAGCTCACATGGTGTGCAATTGCAATCACCCACTTGTTTAGATTTGGAGTCACTTTGCTCAAATTTTAGAGAACCATGTCACCATGTGAGTAAGTATGAAATTACAGGGTTGATTTTTCTATATACATTTGAAAAAGGACGATTCCCGGTTTGGAGAACGAAGTTCATCAATCTAAATGAGCAGCGATGCATTTTTCACCGAACTCGGCAGAACACCGGCCGGACATCCGTGGCGTTTGTTGCTTAAAACCGCATCGGTGGTAGCTCGGTGAAATTTTAACTTCGGAGTTAAATTTCACCGGGCTCTCACCGAGCTCCCTCATCATGTCATCGCAGCCCCATCGTAACCACATCGGAAAACACGTCGGCCCGTGCATGGCCGAGTATCGGCCGGTGTCCCGTGCATCTAAGACAACCAGAGGACGAGGTTTTTTAACGGACAGCGGCCGAGCTCCGACCGAGCTCCGGCCGATGTGGGACAGAGCATCGGCCGGTCACTGTTCAAAGCCCGTTAACAACCCGGCCGGCGATCGCACGGTGTCCTGTTACCTGCTCGGGTACCGGCCGTATTCCTTCCGATGTCCGGCCGACCTCCGGCCGGTAGTTGCTGCCACATCGGCAGAAAAAACTACCATTTTGAGACAGACTCCGTACGGTCACCAGCCGGTGTTCCGTCGGTCGCCTGAAGATGTCCGGACGGAGTCCGTTCACATCACCGAGCTCTGCTTCCGATGAGGAGAGCTCGGTGGCACCAAAAAAATCCACCGAGCTCTACCGATGCTGGACATCGGCCGGGCTATGTGACTAGGCCATTAGTCATATTTTGTTCAATATTTATATCGATTGTTTAATTGTGCCATCTTTCTTTCATAATAAAGCTCATATTTAATATTTGAATTAATAAAATATTGATCTATTGTTCAAATCAATAACCAATCAAATACCTTTCCAGTTGGGACAAAGGAGAGTGGTCAGGGTGTACGACGACATGTGGTAAAGGGATCCAGACCCGTCGTGTTGAGTGTAAACAGCGTATGAACCCACAAGTCCACATCAGTGTTTCTGCTAGCCTCTGCAGTGGCGCAAGTAAGCCGGCAACAACGAAAATGTGTGAGCTGGCGGAATGCGCACGATGGAAAACTGGCAAGTGGAATTCAGTGAGTAGTTTTTAATTTTATTTTACATAAATTTGTCAGTTCAGATGTACCATTTCATCCAATTAATTCAGTGAAAGTGTTGAACTTCAAACTTACAATTCAACTTACATTTTAATTTATAGAGTCATAAAATGATTTAATTATCAATTTTTTTTTTTCAAAATACATTCACAGTCATTCAATCGTATACAGATAAGTATTTTTTCCCTACATATAATTCTTGTGCAAATAAGTATAGTAAAATTGGATGTTGTCCATATATATTTAAACTAATACAGTTTTTTGGGTTCTGATACTTTAGTGTCCAGTCGAATGTGGCAAAGGTAGCCAAACAAGGGAGGTAGTTTGCGTGGACCATCAGAATTCAACTATTCCTGATTCTGAGTGTGAACTGGAGAAGCCAGTCAGTCAAACAGACTGTGATATGGGGCCATGCTCCAAGGCATGGTACTACACTGAGTGGTCAAACCAGGTTGGTTCAAATTACATTCATACGCCATCTATATTTACATAAAAACAAAATGAGATTCTGTTAACAGTGTAGAATATAACTGAGTAAATACACATACTGCCAGTGAAGACCAATGTTAGTCAATTAAAAAAAATTTTGAAACCCCCAAAATAATGTTAAGTGAATCTTAACTCAGTAAACGACTTGCTATAAATACAGATGGCAAAAGAAATGTATATTTATATCGATGTAGCCATAGAAAATGTTAGAAATGAAACTTATTGATTTAATTATATGCTATATTTTTTGAACATCTGAGAATTCATTTTTTGATTGAATTATATTCCAGTGTTCAAGTGACTGCGGAGATGGTTTTTATAAACGGAAACTTTATTGCTCTTCAAATAAGGAGGAAGATTGTAGTGCTAGCTCTCGCCCCGAAAGTGAACGTTCTTGTGAAAACGAGAAACAGTGTGGGGCAAAATGGTTTACAGGTCCATGGAGTAAGGTACGCTGCCAGCACATGTTTCTTTTCAAATTCATGCTTTATTTCATTTAATAGTGGAAATTAAATTGTACGAGCAAATTAATAACCTAATTGGAAATACCTTTTCTCAATAATTTCAATTTTATCTCTTTCTCGAATTTTGATAAAAAATAAAATTTACCAATTTTGAATTTCACTTTGAAGTCTTACTTAAGTATATTACTCAGTGAGCTCCTATTTCTTTAAAAATATCTGTGACTTTTATTCTCCAGTGTTCATCAGAGTGTGCTGGAACTCAAACTAGAGAGGTTTTATGTATGAGACACCTCAGTCACATGTTTGTTTCCGTCTCCGAGAGAAGTTGCGGCCAAGAGAAACCTATAACAGAAAAACCATGTGAGCAGTCCTCCTGTAATGCTGACTGGTATATGACTGACTGGACTGAGGTAAGGAGAGTTCTCCCATAAATCAAATACAGTGAAACCTGTATATAAGAACACCTCTCTAATCCGAACCCTTCTCAATGTGAACACTTTCTGTGTCCCAAATTTGTTATTTCTCCCATGTTATAAAACCATGACATGAAACTGTAAAATTATGACTAAATAACAGAACATAATATATTACACCTATAAACATGAACATTTTATGGATCAGAGAAACCAAGAATCATTGTGTCAAGTTTAATTAATGTAATCTCAAGCAGAACGTTTTGAACAATCAGACAAATTGTATGTGTTTCAGTGTACACAAAGTTGCGGTGGTGGACAGAAGATGCGGGAAGTACGTTGTCTAGACCGCGACCAGAAGCCAAGTAATGCATGCACTGTTACAAAACGCCCAGAGTCTAAACTGGAATGCAACTCTGACCCATGTCCTACACAGACTCCAGGTAATTTAAACTGAAAATGTCCGTCTGTTCACATTTGTTTATTTCATTGTTTTCTCTCAAAAATTTGAATGAAGTGTCTGATTTTTTGATATTTTTGTACAATTTAGAATCTTGTTCATCTTTTCCTCATCCTCTTCTCAAAAAATTCTTGTCTTGAATTTGTTTCTCCAGATAAAAACCTTTTTTCTAAATCTTTTATTTAAACATTTCTATCTTACCTTGAATCATTTTTAAGGCCATTTTTGATGCTGTTTTTCTTTAGTATGTAAGACCTGTATCTAGCTTTCATGGGGGACTCTTATCTCTCAGGTGGGCCCTAATATTTCAGGGATAGGGTTGAGAAATTTTGACAAACTATAACAATTTTGAACAAATATATGTCAATTCACATGAGGCGAATATTATACAACAATAAGCATATCTGGAACAAAAGTGTGCCCATTATGACCCAGCGATTCATAAAAAAACATATATTTGGTAAAAATATCAGCGCCCTCTGGCTAGAGGCATGGATGGTTCAAATAGATATGTATTGGGCAATTTTTTGTCATTCTACTTTTTTGTTCCTTCTTTTATCTTTTAATCAATTGATTAAATTAAAGTGAATGCAAATTTATTTTAGTTATCCTTACTACAACTGCCATGAGAAGGAAACCAATAGGTATTTTTTGATGACAAAGATTATTTGCTTAAGTTGCTTTGGGTCAAATGCTTTATAGTTATATTACATATAGGAGGCTAAAGTTAGTCTTGAATAAACTCTGTCTTTTCCCATTGTCTCTCAAACTATGGGCAAATTGTTAAGATTGGGTGTTATGTAAATGCTTTTTACCCCATTGAGGTTCTGCTTTGATGATATATAAGGTTAATGTTTTATATTTTATTGGCCCAATTTGATATATGCTTCTCTTTATTGAAATTTGCTTTTATTTTTGGTGTCGGGCGCAAAATTGAAATTATCTGGCCTAATTCTGTCTCTATTACTATCAAATATTCACTTGTACATCTTTGTACCATTCTAAGCAATGAATATTCATGAATTTGTTTTTGTTTCCATGGTAATCATGACATCATAGTGAAGGACCAATAGATTAAGTTATGAATTCATTAATGAAAGAATGCTTACAGCAATGTACCCCCGATTGCTAAACAGAATAAAGCTTAAAATCAGAATACATATGAATATTATAGTAAAATATGTAGAAAGTCATGGTTGTAGATGCTTAATGGTTCATGGAATATTTTTATTATTTCAAGTTCCCATTTCACTAATAATATTCATTTCAATAACTTTTTATTAAATATGAAAAATCAATTATAACAATGACTTTTTTATTTTCATTTAATTAGAGACTGATAAGTCATACAGGGTGTCCATAAAACTTACAATTACAATACAAAGTTTGCGTAAAATGTAGAGACTTTTTGGACACCTTGTACAATAAAAAATATTCAAAACTGTATCATTTGTTATGTTTTTCAGATCCCTCATGCAAAGACAAGTATACCAACTGCCGTCTTGTCAAGCAAGCACGATTGTGTCGTTACTCCTACTACAAAACCGTCTGCTGTGATTCCTGTAAACAACACAAGCATCACTAAGGCAACAGGGGATGATGTCATAAAATCATTACTAAGGCAACATCAAATGATATCATATTTAAAACTCAAATGAGCAATAAAGGATTGCAAAAACAAGGGATAGCATAATACCCATCATTGTTAAGTTGTACACAAGTTTGAGAATATAACCACGTGGGTCATGTATTGAAATTAAAAATAGAGTAAAAAAGAGTGGAATTAGCAAGGAATTAAGTAAACAGGCATGTAGTTAACACTCTAAATTGTATCGAAATGGAAAAACAACGAACACTTCATCCAAATTTTAGAGAGAAATTGTTGAAAAGTATGACTAGCCCATATATTGCGGATTCCTATGAGCTGGATTATTCCGTTATGAGTTATACATAATTGTACATGGGGCTAGGTGGATTGACAGAGTTGTTTATCATCAGAGCAAAATACGAAGTGAGCCCAACCAGCTGTGCAAAGCGCAAGTTTTTATATTTTGAGGAAATATGAATGTTACAAACATTTACATGAACACACCTGGCTAATGTTGTTGTCGTAGCAGATGGTATAATAGCTAAGCACATGGTATAATAGCTAAGCACATGGTATAATAGCTAAGCACATATCGTAAGAACCAAGTGCCAACATTTGAGTCCCATGTAGCAGGCACTACCCTCTGATGTGATGACTGACGGACCAATGCTACTAGAGAAATTGACTCTAAAAGTAGCATAAGAAATGCTAACAGATGGTATGTAGCGATTGGGGAAAATTGTCTGAGCAAAATGCTACTGTACATGATGCAACTGAAAAAAATGCTTCTGAACAGACTCACCCTTAGGTGCCTTAGCAGTTGGATTCTTCTACGGTTCATCAGGTATGCAACAGTGAGACATTAGGTCAAGTTAGACATTAGGTTGAGTTAGAATTTAGGTCGAGATGTGTATATATGCAATGCAAAATATATGTGACTATTTTGTTGGACAGTATAAAAGTTAGCAAACATATTGCAAAGCTATAACGGTGCTCTATATTTAGATTGAATTTTGCGAAATATGTGCTAACTTTAGCCACATTAGAAAAAATTTATATCCACAGAGACTTCATTAAGGCTAGGCATTAAAGGCTTATATAAAGCATTTACAATGCATTGGTCTCATGGATAGTACAAACATGTGGCTTTAATACTATAAAATGTATAACAACGGTGTTAAACAAGGATGTACATGGCATGTGTTCCTATTTTTGCACTGTAGTTATAAACGATGGAATCACTGTTTAAATGTAATTACAATTCATGAATAATTGACATATTTTGTACTTGTATTCCATTATTCACTTATAAATGTAGTTTTAGCTTAGGAGAGTACAGTATATACATGTAGTTTGCCAAATTATAGATATTCTTTTCAAAGGTTTAGCTATTATTGTAAGATTTTAATATAGGGGTGATAATCGCTTATTGTAATCTTGCAACATGTCCCTTGACCCCCTCTAGGTATGAGGTGTGTAGGGTAGCGTCAGAGCCAGAGGGTTATGAGGGTTTGAAGCGAGACTAGGCTTATTATTAATCACCCTGATTTTTTTAAAGTATACCCAGATACTACGGTTTTAGGGAATCCTTATCATGTATTATAAGCTTCTAAATATTCAGTTGATATATGTATGCATATCGCCACCCCCACCCCCTTTTCACCAATGCTTGAGGAAAGGGGGAGCATTTAACACAATGCATTTATATGTATAAGGCAGCATTACCTGTAAGGAAAATGTCAAAACTGGTCACAATGAATTTGGAAAACAAATGGAGAGTCAAATCAATAAGAAGTAATGTATTGAACAGGCATCTGTCAATACTTTTTTTTAAATGACAGAAAGTAATAGCAATAAGTATTTTATCTTATCTTGGGCAGTTTAAAAAATACAGTGTTCTTATACAGCCAGTAGATAACGTATATATGCACTTGTACACTCCCCTCCATACGTTTTGAAACTAGAAATCCTCTTTTGTTTATGTTTGGCAATTTAGAAAAATCCAAGCATTTCTTCTACATGCTTTAACATGCTGATGCTGGAATTCCGGTTACTAAACTTATGGAGGGGAACAGGCCCGTAGCCAGAGGGGGGGTTCGCAGGGTTCGGGCGAACCCCCCACCCCCTGGCCAAAATTTCTTTCAAAATCATGCAGTTTTTCACCATTTTGAGCACTTCTCAAGTGATTTTACTCATATTTGGGCCAAAATTGTCAAATGTGAACCCCCCCTGGAAATTTTTGAAAAGTGAACCCCCCCCTTGGCAAATCCTGGCTACGGGCCTGGGGAAGGTGCATAACATTTTGGTCAGTATTCAGCTTTGATCTATATGGTAAATATACTTTTTTAGCTGATGTAATTTTTGTATTGAGTCATGTCAGACATTACAGGGTGCTCAAAAATCTTTGGTCCCATCTTTATACAATCCCATTTAGTACATTTTTTTGGGCTCAGGATTTTCACAAATTCTCATTACAAGTATTTACTTCAGGTGTTTATTACAGGTGTTCTTTACAAATTATTAATAACAGATGTTTATTACAAATGTTTATCACAGGTGTTCATTTCAAGTGGTGGTTACAGGTGTTCATTACAGGTGTTTATTACAAGTGTTTATTACAAGTGTTTATTACAGGACATTAGGCAATATTTACCTCAAATGCAGTTAACCCTTTCCAGAATAATATGACTTTCACATTAAGGTAGGCGGATATGATTGTATTATGCAAGCCTCCATACATCTTAAGGTAGGCGGATATGATTGTATTATGCAAGCCTCCACACATCCTCCTAAGCAGGTGTCCAGAATCCGTACCTCCTTCTTCCCCCTGCTATAACCAATTTGGACGCGCCCGATTTAACTGAATCACGTGATCTAATTATACATTATTTCTGTCACAGTGTTGCGACAGCCAATCAGATTGCGAGTTCTTAATCAGGGAAATGGTTACTGCTTATCGCAAGGGGTAAAAAGAAAGAATATGTTCTGGATTTTGAAGCCCTGTAATCAGAGGATGGCCTCCACATAGAGATTATTTGTTTCACCTTAATCAATAGGATATGGAATGTTGAAGTCATATTATTTTCAGAAAGGTTGTAGCGCTATGGTAATAACTTTATATATTATTATGTTTTGATGTACAGCAGATATTCAGAAATATTGTGATGGTCACATTTTTTATGCAACACAGGAATTAACAAGTAACTGCACTGGGGGAATTTTGAGGTGTGCATATCTGCCAAGGGGAAATTTAAAGCAGGGGGTCTGCCAAAATCCTTTTTTGACCCTAGACATTTTTATGCCTAAAGATAAGCCTCATTTTAGAGAAAGGGGGATTTTTTTAATGACCTAGATATTTTTTGACAACCAATCATTTTTAAAATACACATGTGTATCTCCTCAACCACCCCCTCCCCCTTTGTCACATCCTCCCCATCCCCAAAAAGTAAAGTAAAAAAGTGAATATAACTCCACCAGAGAGAAAGTTGACTAAAATTTTGTGACAGTTATGATATTTCTGGAGAGCTTTTAATTGTATAGATTTATGTGCTATTTATAATTATTGTACAGAATATTTAGTGCACTGCTATTGTAAATATTCATTTATATCAAAAATAGCACTTTTAGTAATGTAATTGTGCTTTGCAATATAGCACTCTTATATAAAAGTGCTACTATAAGGGAAATTTTGCCATTAATGGCAATTATAATTCTGTAGCGATTTATAGCAAATACTTACCAACGTTTCTGTCATTGAGAAGTTCACATCTGTATGTTTCTAGTTTGGGATTATTTTTTGCTTTAAGTGAAATCAAATTTAATGCTTTTAAATAAGGTATATTGTTTGCTTTGCATTATATTTAATTAAAGTTTAATAAAAGTTAGATCTGCTTTTGCTTTTTCAAAGTTAAATATTCCCAGGCTTTATTTACAATTGTCGCTTATATTATGTGAATCTAGCTGAATCTTTCCTTATAAAAGTAAATTAGTAAACAGGCAGATGTGAATTTCCTAAATGTAAGTACAATAAAGAATGTACATCGTTTAACAAATAATGTTAAATGCTATGGACATATAATAGAATTTCAATTTAGAACAAGTTTAGGAAATGCTATGATCCATGGACAAATATTGTCATTCTATCTTTAATTTGAGATTTTATAGATAAATTGTTAAAATGTATCCACCGACTAATTCTAAATTAGGTTCTTAGCTCTAACCTAATGACAAAAAATGACCTAATGACAAAACTGCCATATGTTAAAGCATATTAAGCCTTGATTGACTAAATTGTCTGATAAAGACAATTTGATCATTCGTTTTGCAATGTGCGATAACTATATTACATTGTGGTAAGTTGGCTAAATTATGTAAAATTGTATTACCATGGTTACTAATTATTATAACAAACAGTGATTGTTTACAAAATTGTTGATTTTTAGAAAATCATATTATTTGCACAAATATCCTATTTTAAAAAATTGATATGTTAAGAATTACAAAAAATTGATATTTTAAACATTTGTAAATTGAATTTATTTTACATGAGGAAAGTCAAAATTGCCATGGTTATTTGATTTAGAAGTTCATGTTACAGCTAAAATGAATGAAATCATCAAAAATAAAGTAAATAGTAGTACACTCTAAATTGCGTAGAAATGCAAGAAAACCAGACACTTCTTTCAAATATTAGAGAGAAATGGAGTGAAATAAGGGAGAAATTGTGAAAAGCAGACGGACATTAGAAGAAAGCATATAGCACAAGTTAATATTGTGACATAAATGTGTATTGTAAAAATAAATTTTATAAGAAAATCAATTTCTGTTTTTATTGTTTATTTATTATTTATTTTTGGTCAGTTACTGTGTTTTAACAATCTGATGAAATCCTTTTGCTCCTTGAGATATTTTCTCAGAAGGACCATATATTTCAATAAATTTCCATCTAATGACGAAATCGCCTCAGAAGGGCATTTCTACTGCCGCTTTAATGTTTTAAAAAGTTATACACGTACATTTAAAAAGGCCGTGGCTAGAGAGCCTTAAAGGGACCCAACACCATGGTCACATGATCAGTCGTGTGGAGGTAAGCTCCCAGTTGAAATAAAAGCACTGTCCTCCTTTGGTTTCTGTGAAAAGTAGCTAATACCCTCATGTATTGGTCAGTTTGTGTGTCACATGACTAATCCATACCATATGCTTCATTCAACATATTTTATGCTATTGAGCTGCATATATAAACAGTACTTTGCAACTAAGGTC